TATTTTGAAAACCCGTATTTGGTATGTTTAGTTGAAACGCAGCCGGACATAGATTTGCAAAATTTAAACTACTGGTGACTCTGATGTCAAAATAAAGAGTACGCTCGACATAAAGTTCATTTTTCTTGCCGTTAAAAATTTTTTCATAAACCATATTAACAAAACTTTTTCAATGGAAATTTTAGTAACGTAACGCCAGGTAACGTCACGTCAGATATTTCAGCTGATTAAATATAAAGCAGAAAAGATTTCTACATTTAAACGCTTGGAAAATTAACCTTAAACTTTTCCAGTATTACTACAAAAGCTTTTATACAAATAGAATAGAATTTTGCAATTTTGTGATTGAAGTCAAAATCCACTTCTGTTTGTTGTAACGTTGCGCCAGCGCGTAAGTTTACTTATATCTTTAAATCGCTACTACCACTAAGGGGCCATTTAATAGCTACGCAAATCTAGAAAAAACTTTTTAAAAGTTTGCGTGTAAAAAACACGCCAATATGGGTACCAAATGAAACAGAGAGCTCTATAGAATTGAAAAAAAAAAATAATGTTTACGTTAAAAAGGACGAAAATGAAAATGTATTTTTAAAACTTTTTACTACAAATTCTTAGATTTATTTTTGTCACATCTTCGAATGCGTTTCTTTTAACTTTACTAGTTTAGTTTAATGTATAGAATTTTTTTATTTTATTGGGTACACATATTGGAGTTCTACACAGCACAAAATTTTTTAAACTATTTATTTAATTAATCGTGACACTGAAAATTCAAAGTCCTATAAAAAGTATTTGCATAGTAAAACCGGTAAAAATTATTTTTTGTGTTTTTCTACGCAGTAATTGGATAAAACATGAAACCTAATCATAATTAGGGATTTATAGGAAAAAAACTACTAATTACACTTATCTTAAGATCATTTGCGTGAAATATTTAGTTATATTCAGTTACCATAAGTCCACAAAAAAATTTTCAGAAAAAAACAAGAACGGAATTCATTTTGCTAGAACATATTTATGTCGACAAGTTCGTATATGCATTTCGACCTTTTAGACCGGCTCTTGATTGCGAATAACTGCGAATTGTGCAAAAATTTTCGTAATTAAAGTTTTGATGACTCTCGGATACACTTTGTGGCATTCCTTTCTTATCTGTTTAAGGTATTAGAGATGAAGAAAAAAGTAGGAAAAAAACTAGCGATGGATCGGGGTTTTTCATAGATCATTGAC